AAATACATTCATTTAAATTGACATAGAAACTTATAATCTAAAAATTAAGTTGTATTTGAAAACCAACTTATATCAATCAATATTTTCCGAATTGCATGTGTCTCATCATTCATTTCACTCTCTTTTAACATATAGAATATGGTTTAATGACATGGATCCTTCATTACATCGATATCTACTTTTATAGTTTAATTTCAATAACAATAATTTATTGGCTAAATCTACCTCATCATCATCACTTATCATTATAATTGTTATGATGATAAGTCATCATAACAATCACGATGATAAATCATCTTTAATAGAGATCGAAGATTTTCTCATTAAGTGCAAAACCAAATATTGTAATTAAACAAATCCAATTAAATATCTTCATTTAATATTTGTTTAATTAAATCTTCAATCAATATCTTTGCATATAAATTTTAGCATAATCATAGATAAAATAAATCTGAACCAAATCTTCTTTCAAATCATTTTCAAACTTGAATGCAAATCAAATCAAATCTTCTTTAATCAAATCCAAATATTTCAGTTAAATCATATTCTATTAAATATTTTTCAACTATTATGAATTATGATTTAATATTTTTTTCTAAACTAATTTGATTTATAATTAATCTTCTCAACACATTTCTTCATTAGCATTCATATTCTATTGTATATCTGTCAATCTTGTTCTTCATACATAAAAGTATTCTTCTTCCTTATTCTCTCGTTTTCTTATATGTTGTTGTTATGTTTCACAAGATTTTCATATGATTTTCTTCTTGTTAGATAGTTTATGGTTTTTTATTGTTATATGTTGTTGTTTTGTTGAAAAATATTTTCCATGTTCTCTCTTCTTCGTGTATGTTGATTTTCTTCTTGTTATGTTGATGATGTTGTTATGTTGCATGTTGCTAAGTCACAAGAAAAGAGAATTCTTTCATAAAGAAGGTAAATGAAGAAACAACTGCAACAGCAAACTTCATTCAGTTTGTGTTGATGTGAGAAAAAAATATAAGAAGTGTGAAGCTATTGTATAAACTTCATCCACCTTATATTTCTTTTTCATAGAATCATAAAATAGATGAACTTCATAATTGATTCCAATTCCACGTTTAGTTTCAATAAAAGGTGCGTCTTTGAAACATTTTACTATATCTGGTGTTATTGTATGATGTTTTATTGTTGATAAATGCCTTTGTATGATGTTGTTGTTGTTGTTGATTAATATTCTCAGAACAAGAACAAAACACTACTAAGTCACACTTCTTGTGCTTTAAATTATTATGCAAATTGATAGAAGATTATAGAAGATTAAGTTGAGTTTATTATATTCTATGTAGATTATTTATTTCGCTAACCCTTCACTTAAAATACATTCATTTAAATTGACATAGAAATTTATAATCTGAAAAATAAGTTGTATTTGAAAACCAACTTATACCAATCAATGTTTTCTGAATTGCATGTGTCTCATCATTCATTTCACTCTCTTTTAACATATAGAATATGGTTTAATGACATGGATCCTTCATTACATCGATATCTTCTTTTATAGTTAAATTTTAATAACAATAATTTATTAGCTAAATCTACTTCATCATCATCACTTACCATTGTAATTGTTATGATGATAAGTCATCATAACAATCACGACGATAAGTGACGATGATGAGGTAGACTTAGTCAATAAATTGTTGTTATTGAAATTAAACTAGAATCGAAGGAACCGATGTCATAAAGGAGCTAGACCATTAAACCATATTATATATGTTAAAGAGTGTGAAATGAATGATGAGACGCACGCAACTCGGAAAATAGTGGTTTGTTTAAGTTGGTTATCAAGAATAGTTTATTTTCAGATTATACTTCTTCATCAATTTGAATGCTTGTATTTCTTTAGTGAGGTGCATGGAAAAATAAGTAATCTACATATTATATAATAAACTTTGGGTACATTCAACAACGATTATCTATTGTAATCGTGATCAATATTAATTTATGTTCCAAATAATTTACTGATGATGAGTTTCTAACCCAGTATATAAGTGTATATATCACAACAATTGGTATTAAGAACCATTGTGATATATAGTGTGCGTCATGTCTTACAGTCACGGTCTCTAGACCGTGATAGAAACAACGAACTTACAACCACACGCAATTCCACAACGGTATGTCACACGTGATGGAATCTCTTTTTCAACCGTTGTGAAAGGGATTTTCCATAGTAGTGAATCTTGCTAAAAATAGCTCTTTTCCAAAAACCAAACATCGGCTAACACACTTACATCTTTGATATAATAGAAAAGGAAACAAATCTTGAAAGGAATAAATATACATTAATTTATCTTGCACTTCAAGCAAACAACATGTGACATGTTGAGACAAGATCTTTGGGACATTATGCTCAACATCTTACTTTCCACGAACAAACTTTTTGAATCTTCATTAAACAATTACAATATTATATTTTCTTGATATTAATATTAATTCTTACCTCTTAAAATAAAGGATTCATAATGCAAACTATTTCAAAAAACATAATCAAATTTTAAAAATCATCTTTAATAGAGATCGAAGATTTTCTCATTAAATGCAAAATCAAATATTGTAATTAAACAAATCCAATTAAATATCTTCATTTAATATTTGTTTAATTAAATCTTCAATCAATATCTTTGCATATAAATTTTAGCATAATTATGGATAAAATAAATTTGAACCAAATCTTCTTTCAAATCATTTTCAAAGAAATTTTTTCTTGAATGCAAAATCAAATCAAATTTTCTTTAATCAAATCCAAATATTTCAGTTAAATCACATTCTATTAAATATTCTTCAACTATTATGAATTATGATTTAATATTTTTTTCTAAACAAATTTGATTTATAATTAATCTTCTCAACACATTCTTGACACACTTCTGAAAGAATTAAAATCAAATTGTTATGTTTTGGCCAAAGGTCCAATAAAATAATGTCACTTATCCTCTCGCTTAATCTCAAGAGTGTCGATAAAATATTAAATTACTTGCAGAATTAATATATCTTTAAATATATAGAAAAGTATTACTTAAGAGAATATGATTTTAAAATTACATTAGGATATTCGTATATTTTGTGTAGTATATTTTGAATAATATGAATAATATACGTAAATGTCACTTATAATTATTTTATTAATGATTATGTAAATAAATTATACATGAAAAAAATTAAATATGCAAATGAAAAATTTTAGATATAAATACAAAATTTAAAATGATTTACTTATTTGTAAAATGAACAATATTCATATAAATTTTATTATATTAAATATTCATACTAAAATAAGAAAGAAAAAACTGTGAAAAATAAATATTTAAAAATAAATATTTTATTTTTAAGAAAAAAATTATTAATTTAAATAAAATAAATTATTCTAGTAATGACTTGTAAGATAAAAAGTTAATATACAAATTTAAAATATAAATGCCAATAGTGATTTTAATAAATTTCAGTTTACCCAAAATGTAACAGCATCTACTATAATGGGCATGTTTATTTTTTAAAAAATAAATAAATTGCCAATGAAAAAGAAAATAATTAAAATTAATTTTGATGAAAATATATATTTTATTAATTATATTTAGTATGTTAACTTGAATTTAATAATTTAGTACAATACACTAAATTAATAAACTTAATAACAATTTTAATGTCAACATATAACTCACTCTAACAATTATTCTATATATTTTATTAATTATATTTTCTCCATTAAAGTGTATTAAACTGAATTAGTACCAAACATATAGATGACACTATTTTTATTCTTCATTAAGTGATTTACTTTATAATTAATCTTAACTCATATATATCCTAAGGGTTCAAGTTGAGAGATAAATATATAAAATATTTAAAAATCAAATGAATAAAATAGTTAAATTATAGAAAAAGACAAAAACATCCTTTCTAAATAAGATTGTTTTATTTCTAAATAAATAATAAGATTGATCCTTTTCATTTTTATTAATATTTTAAATAGTTTTAATATTTTTAGTAAAAAAAATAGTTGTAATATTTTTAGTAAAAATAGTTGTAATATTTTTAGTAAAACATACGAAAAACTCATTTTTTATTGAGAAAATACAATAAAAATTATGAAATCAAAATATTACAATAAATAATTTACAATATGATTACACAAAATATAATTGTAAACTTGACAAAGAATATATTTAGATACACGCATGAATTTAAACTAAATTATATAATATAAAATAAATAGCTATTATATAAAGTCAATTATATAAAATAATAAAAAATAACTTGTAATATAGAGAAAAAAACAAAAATTGACATTTAAAAGTAAGAAATTTGTCTTCAAATAATAATAATTAATTAATTAAAATAAAATAGATATTATATTAATAGTGACTCTTAAAATAAAAAATTAATTGTGTAAATAACTATGTAATATTGTTTAATTTGATAAAATACTTTTTTAATTTTACTAAAGATAAAAAATAGATTAATTAGTATTTTTAGTTATCAAATGATGAATAATAGTGTATCATTTTATATACATGGTCTTAAATAAATATTGGTCAGACGATGATTATAGGATTCCATTTAAAAAGAAAGCATGAGTTCTAATAGTGGTCACATATTTAAGTGATATCCGATACTTCCTACTTTTAAATAATACACACATCAAAATTAAATAATAGACATAATCATGAGCTATAAGTATAAGACCAACAAAATAATACTGATTCACAACCTTTAACAAAAGAGTCTTCCAATGTTAAAATGATGCAGAAGTTGTCATTGTTGAAAAAAGAATGATTAAAAAGCATCATATGTTGAAACCGTAAAAACAAAAGCTAGTAACCAAAAGCTATTAACAAAAACATGAGATAGAGTTAAGTAATTTTAAATTCTTTATCCAGAATCTTAAAAATAATGAAATAATCATTGTGAAGCAAATCAAGTTCAAACTGTTGTCTCATTGACAAAATAACTATTTATAAAATCAGCATAACACAGCCAACAGAAAGGCAAATAAGCTTAATATTTGTGATGTACTTATCAAATATAGTCCCTAAAGGAAAAGGCATGAAGTTTGGCTGAAATACTTTGCCTGCAAAATCAGCATAACCAAACCCGCAATATGATAGTTTCATGAAATGCTTTACCTGCAGAATCCATAGTTAAAAAACAGTTTAATGATTAACACAACAGAACCAAAACTATGGCAAAGGATATTAATCAAAATATGAAGACAAAGTGGCAAAAATCAGCATAACATTTCCAAAACTATGGCAAATCATCTCAAACAATATATGTAGACAAAGTAACAAAAATTAGCATAACAGACACAAAACTATGGCAAAGGATCTTAAGCAAAATATTAACATCTTCAAAAAAAACAAAACTTTTAACAACACCCAATGATTTAACACATCAATAGTTCAATAGAGTAAAAACCAAAACTTTAAGAATGCTTTAAGAACCAAAACTTAAGAATGTAAACTCTCTCAAACAGTGTCACAAACACTTATGTCAAGAGATAAACACAAATACGTAAGTTCAAACAGGACCAAAGTCGTGTTTATAGAGAATCTTGCTAAAGCTTCTCAGACATTTATTGGTAGAGAGTATTGTGCCTTAGGTTGTGGTTTGGTCTTACCTTAACATTGATGAGCACTGAACAGAAAAATAAAGGGAACTAAGGGATATAGTGTTGGTTTGACCTATACATCCTCCATTAACACCATTCACATCACTTTCAGTTTCTTCTGGTCCAACAACATCACCAGCAACAATTGGACCTGCTATTGAATTATAAGTTTGGTCATCCTTATTTTTTTACTCAGCTATATAAACTCCAATTGCATTGGCATGAAAATCTATGTTGTTAAACCATTCAAGTATTGCAGAAACACAGATCTGTAAAAAAATCAACACTAACAATGACCCATCAAAAACAGAGAATCTCAAGGAGGAGAAATAAAAGATTGAAAAACAAAGAAAAAATACAATGATAAGAAATCAAACCATAAACCTTATTGTCTTTCACTATTGCGAGAATCAACGAACATATCTGTCGTCGTTGCAACTTCGTCATCTCACAACATATCATACACATTAGGTTGACGCTGAAAACGAATCTACAGATAAAAGAGCCATTATAAGTAGTAAAATAAAAAATGAAAAAAAACTTAAATTTCTCCCCAACACCGAAACAAATGTCTAAGATACCCGATGTTGTTGATGAACCGATATCAATGGTGGCCGGAGAAAGAGAGGGGTTTCTGTTATTTTTTTATGCAAGAACTATTTAAATTTTATAATAATTAACATCTACATTAATTTTGTAATTTGTTTTTATTTATATTTTTTGTTTACTCTATTTTTTATTAAAAATTTATTAAGTACTTTTAAATCTTAAAAATTGATAAAATATTATGAAATTTTAAAAATCTGTATTATAACTTTTTTGAGATTCAAACTGAAATCGTAAACAATCTTTTAAAAAAAAAAATCTAAAAAAATCAATAGTTACGAAAAAATTTAAAATCTTATTTTCATCAAAATAGTCTCCTGAATCCAATACACTCCCTCACTCTTAAACTAATTCCTAATCTCTTAATGAATTACAATTACAATTTAAGAGTAAGCTAAATGTCAACATAAATATACCGAGTTTCACCCCCTCTCAGCAAGAATTTCTTTCATTATTTTGTAATTTAATTGTTCAGATCATGCTTTCGGTTGCGTAACACATGGACATAGCACATTCATAAGTATCCTGCAATGATGCAAAAACATTCTAAACAAGTATACATCATCAACACCAACTAGTAAATAAATTTGACAATCGAATGATAGTAAGATAGATATACATTGTGCACCGTTTAGAAAAATTGTAACGTAAGTGTCTCCACTAATTCTTCTATGATACCAAAACTGTTAACAAGATAAAGCCGTAGCAGAAAAGTGACGACCAAAAAACATAAAACAAGCTAATTTTCTACTGCAATGCTAGAATCTTGTGTATGTGAGGGCCTCCATTTTCTATCAAATACATTTCTTTCAACCACTTGTGCACCCTTCAATTTCTTATCCTGTTCACTTAGTTTCTTGTCTATTAATTCCATCAACTCTTGCAAACCAACTCCTGTGATGGCAGATGTTTTCACATGTGGACCAGACGGTAGTATGGCGCCAATAATTTCCACACCATTGTCTTTATTAGAGGACTCATTCTGTTCGTCAGCCACAGAGGAAGGAGAACAAAAATCACCTTCGTCAACCATTGTGTCGTCCTCGTACAACCAACCATCGGAATAGTCTCCTTTTTCTTCAATGACATCAGAGTCACACAGTGACTTCTCATTGGCTACTTCAGTTTCCATTAATGTCCCAGTATTCACATCCTCTTCTCCATCAAGGTTGCTAGTTTCATCAGCCTCTTCGTCTTCATCAAGATATTGATCATCATCCATGCACTCTTCCTCAGCATCAATCTGAACATTTACAGAGATTGAGCGGGATAGATAGTTGATCGTTTTTCTTGCACTATGGTAGAAAGGGAGATAAATTGTTTTACCTTATTCCAAACTTCAATCATATTTTGAAGCTTCTCTTGTGACACCCCTATTTGTTGAAGAACTTGTAACACTGTTGTGCGATGCTCGTCGAGATTGGGAGCAGTAGAATCCACGACATGCTTCAAAAAAAGATAGATTTGTCAGTTCTGTGTTTATGCCCACATATATGACGAATTTGAAGTGGATAATATTTTTATTCTTATGCCCGCATAAATCACGAAATTTCAAGATGATAATATTTTTATTTATTTTTAGACAAGTAATTACAAAATTCCAGAAATGAGTCTTTTCAGTATTGTTGATGGCCGAAAGCAAAAACCCCTCCATTTAAAACTACTACATCCGCCATAAAATGCCATGGGGTAGCCATCCTTCACAAATTGTCCATGGCGGCAGTCAGAAAAAACCACCACCGCAATCCACCTTGGAGCTGCCATGACTGATATTTGACAACAGAGTCTTATGGACATAAGTGAGCAAATTCAACCTTGAATTTTATGACTTTTTGAAACTTGTGTAAGAATCAGAATCAGAGGAGATGAAAAATCATACCACAAGCAGGTCGGCTTCCACCACTTCTTCTAAAGTTGCATGAAATGCTTCCACTAACTTCAAAAATTGAAAGAGAAAAAGGGCGTGTGTCATTGTTGACAAAATAATATTGACAAGATCAATAAACAAACATGCTGACATGGCAATTTGCTCATGCATTTGTCATTACCTGAACAGGCAAATCAGATATAAATCCTACAGTGTCGCTAAAAAGCACTTTCCTCCTATAAATAAAAATAGAACAGTGAAGTATACATGTGTATAACCTATGTTACCAACCAATGTATGAAAAAGGAATAGAATACTTTGATTTGCTGGTCACATTACCCTGAGGGAAGAGCTGCACTTCTTAACCTAGGATCGACTGTAGCAAACAATCTGCAAACACGTAACACCGCAAAAGTTGACATTGTAAAGTAAACATATCATAAATTTTGAGGATGAAACACAATACAAGTAAAGGTGGTTTTACCGACAATCGCTATAAAGATCACTGTCCGTTAGATTACTAACTAATGTAGATTTTCCCTAATAAAAACAAAGAAAGTCGTATATCAGTGATGCTGTCTAATTACAATATATAGCAATCATATATATATACTTATAGAGGTAGAAGACTTACAGCATTTGTATACCCAACGACAGCGACGGTGGCTAAGCGATGTCCAGCCGAACCCCCATGCCTCTTCCGACCAGCACGTTGCACAGCACGGGTACGGCGAACCTCATCAATTTGCGTTAGTAGATAATTTCTCCTTTCTAATACTCTAAGAGTTTCACAATTCAATGACTAGATTATGTAATAAGAGGTGATCACAAAAAAAAAATGTAATAATGTGCAATTAGTAATAGTAGTTACACATTAACAAGGGGTTCATACATTATAGACAGGAAAAATATATGGTGACACTACATTATAAAAGCACAGGTTAATCTCAAATAACCTGCAAGCATGGAAGTTTGAAACACCACAAAACTCCTAACAATGCTGTTCATTAAATCTGACGAGAATCAATCAGGACCAAAGTTTGGTGGGATCAAATCTTATTTTAGAGTGAATATAGGTTTCATATCCTATAACATACACTTTCTCTTAATGTCTGTGCCATCCAAATACTATTGTGGCCACAAACAAAATTAGAGTGAATGTTTGCAATGACTTGATGCAGTGAGAATGTGAAAAACAGCTCTAAAAATAATACGAATATACGAGGAAATCATAAGATATGCCACGAAAAAGCAGGAATAGATTGCTTGAGGATAAATGTATGTATCTTACAAATTTAGTATCAGTTATATATACCTTCGTCGCTGAAGCTGAAGTTCAGTTTCTCCAGCACCACTCATAAAACCTTGGCCCCCACCTCCTCTCCTGATTTTGACAAGTATCAAGGTAAGATGCTATTCTTCTAATCAACAATTTACTAATTACTGATACTATAGATTAGGCTAGACATGCACAGATTCACAGAATTACACATTCTTCCAGAAATATGTGCATAAGAGAATGAGCATGTGAAGAAAAGGGGTATAAATTATAAACCGTTTTCAAGCACAGTTGTACTTCATAACAAACAACAACGTAAACAGAAAACTAAACCTTTATGACAAGTACTACTGGGCAACAAAAACAATTTTCCCAAGCAAAAAGTAGTAGAGGGGTATAAATTATAAACTGTTTTCAAGCACAGTTGTACTTCATAACAAACAACAATGTAAACAGAAAACTAAACCTTTATGACAAGTACTACTGGGCAACAAAAACAATTTTCCCAAGCAAAAAGTAGTAGATTCCCATAAGAGTTCAAATTTTGTAAATTTCAAAAAAGTAATAGATTCCCATAAGAGTTCAAATTTTTAAAATTTTTAAAATTTTCAAAATAATGTTACTTCCACTTCAAAAATGGCATCAAAATCATAAAATAAGGAGAATGAAGAAATAATAAAAGACAACCCTCGAGCACTAACAACTTCAGCTTCTCCAGAAGCACCAAATGTATAGCGACCACCAGGGCCAAGAACACGAACGAGTCTTGACTTCTTGTACGACAGAGCTGCAAGTTCAGCCTACAAAGATGACAAAGTATAGCTCTAAGTTACAAAGCAAAAAGAAATTCAACTCAATTAAATCCAATTTAATTCAAGACAATACCATCAGGCATAAACCATAAAACAGCCCAATGAAACCGCATTACAAACCTGAAGCCTGGCTTCCTTAGTGTATGCATGAGCATTGAAAATCTCAATTATAAGACCAACACGATCCACCACAGGCTTACCCCAAGCCCTCTAGCAATAACAAAACATCATTGTCAAAATTACACAACTTTCCATTCCTAAATAAAAATGAGAAAACACTAAACAATCATTTTAGTCTCTAAAACATGCAAGGCGACGTCACTATAGTCCTTTGAATGTATCGAAATTACAAAAACAAGCCCAAGTGTGTCTTGTTAGCAGTAACTTTATGAACCAAACAACATACTAACAAAAAACACGTTAGACGAGCAAACAAAAGACACAATTGATCACCAAATTGACCAACGAGACGCATTAAAGTATGTTTTTATAGTTTCAATGACTAATGTGATAGAGCCTCACACATTCAGCTGCAATTTACACAAACAAAATTTACCTCCATATTTCGAAGCTGAATACCAGACAGTGTTGCATTAACAAAAACAGCATCCACTTCACCCTGTTACACAGAAATCAATATCAAAATCAAAATACAATTCAATACCCTAATAAATAACCAATCACATGAAATAGTAACAAAAGCACAATTTTTTACCTTTGTTTCAACAGCATTTAGATGGCATTTGATAGTATCAACCGTTCCCGGTCCAAAGTAAGTATCTGAAAAAAAACATAAACAAAATCAAAACAGACAAAACAGCGTTTCAAAAAAGAGACACACTTCGAGTCAGAAACCGAACCTGCCCGAGGCTTATGCCCTTTA